AGTGGCGAATGCTTCAATTTTTCTCCATTTAGGATGATGTTGGCTTTGGGTTTTACAATATTGATGTATATTTCTACTATCTGTAGTTTTTCCAGTGTTTTGAAAATGAATGTATGCTGAATGTTTTCAAATGCTTTTTCTGCATCTATTAAGACAATCATGTAATTCTTGTCTTTAAGTCCACTGATGTGATGAATCATATTTATTGATTTCTGTATGTTGAACATACTTTCATTATATCTTGTATCTCAAGTGTGTTGGCAAGAAAAAATGCAAACTGCAGCAATAATTAAAGCATGTTATATGTAGATGTTTTGTCAACACTAAATCACAATATTGCACATAAAATTTTAATCTTTGCCCCATCCTCCAATAGATTTACAAAGGTAAAAAATTGTTTCCCAAGTCTAATGAACACAGTATGAAGGATTTTAGAACTTGGTGCAATCTTCTATGGCTCAGGTGGTTATATTTCATTTAGTTTTTAGTAACTGAGTGAATTTTACTAGCACTGATGGATTCTAATATCACTATCGTGGTATTAACAACTTACATACATTGAATGATTTTTACCTTAGTTACTACGAAGAATGTTTACGTATTTCCATACCATGTTTGAAAGCATTTTATTTTATTTTATTTGGATTGGTATATATTAACTGTACATATTAATGGTGTTCAGTATGATATTTACACATATGCATATATACATTCAGTGTACATTGATCAAATGTATCTTCCATTTACCTGTGCTGCTCCCCCTTCTCAACCTCTTCTAATTACTATTCTACATTTTGGAAAAGACCACATCTTCTTATTATATGTGGAAGCAAAAAAATGTTGATGTATTTAGTTTTCAAAACAAACCAGATAATTTAGCTCAAAGACAATTTATCTATTACTTCTACTCAATAGGAAAGAGGATACCAGAGCATCTTAAAATTACTTATGTATAAATGTTATCTTATTGTAATGTGACATAACTTCTTTACCAAGATTTTCTTTGGTACAAATGGAATATGTTAGCTGACAATGTAAGATTTTTAAATGTTCATTAATGTATACATTTATGAAATCCTTTCTTATGAAAACAAAACAATTATAGGCTGTGTCTATTGATTATTGAGCCATGCAGTTTTTTAATATGTTGACAAGACATTCAGAAATATTATGAATAATATATCTTAAGTATTACTTAGTTTTGTTTTAAAAAATGTTTTCTGAATTTTGGTAGTAAACTTGTAATATTATGAATGGTCTTCAAAGAATATTTTCAACATGTTTGCATGCTAAACTAGCCCAACCTTGGATTTTAGACATATCAGATACAGTCAAAAACTGCAGTTAGTAAGGCAAAGATATACAGTTTATATTATAAATTTTCACTATTTCATGCCTTTTCCTATTCACAAATTAGTTTTTTTTTTTTTTGACAAATTATCCCTCAAATTTTTGTACTAAGCAGGATGAAGTGTTGGGTAAAAAAAGTCAGGTAACTCAATACTACCTATCCTTTCAGTTATCACAGCTTGAAGCATATTTTCTCAGTGATGGTAAGACTATAGATTCATTAACATTTTAATACAATAGACTGATATCATGATGATGGCATTCCTGTAAAAGTTTTCTAACCCAGATAAAGTCTTTGAAGGCATTAATTGACATATTGGGATTTACCCTTTCAATGGCCCAGTCAAGGAAATCAAGTAACACTTTTGGTTTTTTTCCAAGGCCCAGAAGACTCTGAGATAAGGGTGGATCCCATGATATACTGATTGCTCTAATGATTTTCTTTGTGGCTACAAATAATTTTAGTAGAATCAGGTCTCTCTCTTTTGGAGCAATGATAATCACAGTTGCTTTAAGATTTTGCTTTACAAACATGATATACTAGATTATAATTTAAATCAGGCATTTATGCTAGTGATTTTAGGGAGACCAACACCAAGGATCAGGTCAACTTCACATAAAGAGAGAGAAATAGGGAAGGTGGTATACAGGAAATGTGGACAGACACCAGAAGGACAGAAGTAAAAGGAGTTGTTTGAATACTTCTTAAGTACTAGGTAAGAGAATGAAGGGAGTAATATGATCAGAATCAATAAATGTTGGCAGTGTTAAAGGTATGAAAAAAGTGACCTGTTTTCCTCTGCAATGCTGGCAATGCTAACTTCCAAACCTAAAATAGAGAATTTATCCTCAGCATATAAAAGCAACTTTGGAGAAGGTCTTTATTTCTTTCTCCTTCAATAAGAAAATTAAACCATAAAGTTACTCTTTTATTTTCCTTGTATCTTTTCCCCCATATTTCCCCCATATTTGTAAAAATATTAAATATAGTACACACAACAGATAAAGACATCTCACAACTGCCACTTTGTTTTTATTAAATCTACTAAGTCATAGAAGCTACTGTATAATGAATAAGAAAACTGAATGTTTATGAGACTAGGTAATAGTAATTTTGTGGTTCATACTTGTCATGTTGTAGTGTTTACTAGTATAAATAAGATTCAAAAAAGCTCTTGGAAGATTATCATTATGTCTCACTTGGCAGTGACTTATTGAAAAGGAATCTTCCTTATTTACTATTTGATTATTGCTATTTTTCTATTCAGCTATGGTTTTCAAGAAAGCTGTTTTAAAATGTGCTCACTAATCATCCTAAATGACTTCTGAGTTGGAGATAGTTAACCAGTGTAAAACCTGGTTAATGATCATTTACATCATCAGTACCATTAAGAGTTACAAGGTTGGACTTAGTCTCAAAGTGTCGAGTCAGACAAAATGATCTTAATTTTCCTACTGAAATATAACCAAACTGCTACTCCTGAAATCTTTCAAGAGTTTCATTTATAGAACACAAGCAGCAGAGAGATACCCAAAAGAGAAAACCACAGGTGGATCTACTGTGACATCTTTCTTTTCCTCATATAAGTTAGTATGTAGCATATGAAAGAATTTCATTGGCCACAAAAGGAAATGAGGAAAAGGATATAAAAATGTTGGAGGAGATGAAAATTCAGAAGAGGGTATGTAAATGGTGGGTTAGGTATTGCCACAATAAATACAAAGAAAGTGGTAAACTTTTTGATAAAGGGTTGAAAAACTGTAGGAGAAAAAGTATCATCCAAGAATCATAACTGTATAGTTATTCGTTGAAGAAAAATTTAATTTTGACTAAGTGTAACTATCAAATGACCAAATTCTTCAAATGGTTTCATTAAGAATTCATAGATCTTATCTAGACTAGAAATTTAGAAATAAAAACATGCAGTAATCAGAACTTATGCTTAGAATTTAAATACTGTATCAGTTATAATCCTGATAAAGATGATAAGAAAAAGACATCATGTTGTTTCCTCAGGCTCCATGACTCCAATTTCTCAGCCCTGCAATGCTCACACCTCAAAATTCAAGTGCTCTAACTGCTCTCAACATGTTCCTCTCCCTGTCCTCCTCTTCAAAGTCTTCCTTTTTCTGTGCAGAGTCACTGAAGTTTGATTTTCTTGCTTTTAAATTTTCCCTTTTCATTCCATCATTGTTTCCTTATCTCATCCTTCCTCCCTTTCCCTCATTCCCCTTTCTTTCCAAATTTAAATGTATACATCCTTTAGGAATCATTGTAGTGCTCTGTTCTTGAATTTTGTAGCTTTTTATATCATTAATATCCATAAAATCATGGGGATGTTTTTGCATGTCTTTTTGTTACTGTCACTATTTTATTTTACAGTAGAAAAAAACATTCAGTTCAAATAAATCAGTTGATAAGCACATCAAATTGAATACAAATATCTTTCACCCTGCATAAACAACTTGAAATCACTGGTAAATTTGATATTCTTCCTCCTGTATTTTCATCTATATGAATGATTATTGGGATTGCAATTTTTAAGGTTTCTGTCATCACATTAATGGAAATAACCCAAAAGTTCAGGAAAAAAAGTCACTCATATGATAACAAAAATGGGTCTTTGTGGAAATTGTCTACCTTAGATATGTTAAGTAATTCTTCTATTACCATTTTTTACCAAGTATTACTCACCCTTGGATTAATAAAAATTTGACATTTAACCAGGCGTAGTGGTGCTCACCTGTAATCCCCACTATAATTTCAGTGACTCAGGAGTCTGATGCAGGAGGATCATGAATTCAATAGCTTCAACAATTTAGTAAGTCCCTAACAAGTCAATGTGACCCTGTCTCTAAATATAGTACAAAAAAAATGCTGGGGATGTTGTTCAGTGGTTAGTGTCCCTGAATTCAATCCCTGGTCAAAAAACTGAAACAAAACAAAACCAAAAAAAAAAAAAAAAAAACACCCTTTTCCCTTTATCCAGGTTGAGTATTACTGATATTTTTCCCTGAAGACATTTGCTCTGAAAGTTATCTGTCTACCTCCTATGCTTTCTTTCTTTGTTCCTCTCTCCCTCCCTCCTTCCTATCAATATCTTTCTGCTATCCATCCCTTTTAAGGTGGATTTGAGAGTAGGTTGCAGATGCTATGTTTCTTTCCCACTGGCTCTTTATTTTCTAAGAAAAAAATGACAGTATTTTGTATAATCCCTATACAATTACAAAACACAATCAGCAAACACAGTAAGAATGGAATATGATAATCTAATCGATATTGTATAAATAGACTTCTCCAATTGCCTTGGAGAAATTAAATTTTGTTAACCATTTTTTTTTCAAGCACACATTTGATCACACATTTAGATATCATGCCTCATTGACCACTTTTCACCTCGACCAGTTCCCTAGTCCTTGTTGCCATCATTAAAGAGTATAAGCACCTTTTTTTCTCAATTTACTTCATGACATTTTTTTTTTTTTTTAATGAGCCTTTTGGGCATGGATATCACTGAAGAAACATCATGTGTGTTCAATATTTCTTTCGTTGTTCAGTCATTTACTGCAATAGATTTACTTAAGCTCAAATTATCTTAAGATGTGTCAGGACCTTATAATTGACTTCTGATTATTTTTCTCATATTGCTATGATTTTTGGAGCATTTTCTTACCTTTTGAGTTCATATGATTTTTGTGTACTTCTTCCTCTCAAATTCTCCTTTCTGGACCTCTGCTGCACTACCAGCTCCATATCCCAATTGCTGGTCAATCTCTGGGGCCCACAGAAGACCATTTCTTATGCCAATTTCATGATTCAATTCTACTTTTACTTAGCAGTAGCAAGCACTGAGTGTGTCTTGTTGGTGGTGATGTTATATGACTGTCATGTAGCTGTGTGCTTGTGTTACACTGTCCTCATGCACCCTCAATTTTGCCAACTGTTAGCTGTGGCTTGCTGGGTAAGTGGTTTTGTAAACTCAGCATTCAATTCCCTCTTTGCCTTCTCGTTACCATTGTGTGGAAATCATCAAGTGGATCACTTCTTCTGTGGAATTCCAGCACTCCTGAAATTATCATGTGTTGATAATCATGCCAATGAGCTGACCCTCATAGTCACAACATCTATTTTTGTTCTTATACCTCTTATCCTCATTCTGACATCTTATGGTGACATTGCTTGGACTGCACTGAAGGTGCATGTTTTGGAGGAGACAGTACCAATTAATGACTGAATCTTAGTATGCTAAATGATTCTTAGGTAAAAAGCCACATCTGAAAGATCACTTTAATAAGGTACAAATAAATAATTTTGACTTTGGGTGTGTATGCATAATTAGTTTTTTAAATACATAACTTTTGTATATTTTGTTTGTAAATTAATAAATAGAAAGATGTTAATTATTTTCTGGATCATATATTACATTTGCATAAGGATAATTTTTGAAATGAACATTTACTATTAAAAGGATTATATTTTAATATTCATCATTTGCAGTAATTTGGTAATATATTTATTTGATAGAAGTATGAGAAAAGAATAATTAAATTTTTAAATAACTGACACTGCACTTTTGTGTAGTGTATACCTTTGTACTTTCACATATATCTCACTTGAAACAAAGATTTTGACCCTAGGCTCCACTTAAGACAGAATAAGAGATATTAACTTCTAATTCCCAGAATGGGAGACTTTATCTGTAAGTAAGATCTTAACTTTATTTATTTATTGATCCAATCATTTATTTATATAAGAATGTACCTAGGGATATTTGTGTTATAATTTGGGTTATAATTAAATGTGTGCTACTGATTTTGTTGCTCAAATTGCCCCAGCTTTGTCCTCTGGAGCTATTTCGGGTTGGCTGCTATGTCCCTAGGACATGTCTTCGTTTTATTGTTGTTGTTATTGTTATTCTTCCTTAATTTTTGGTATCTTCTTAATTTCTGGTACTGCTTCTCTAGGCTTATTTTTTATATTATTTTCCCAGGCTCAGCATCAGGCATTTCTTCAAGGATACTTTGTTGTTTAAACTGTATAATGATGTTATGAACTGATAGCTGTGGAGGCAGAAGGGGAAGTTGGCAGAAGCAAAGGGTCCCTATCTCCTTAAACCACAGTAAGGAAGCAGCAAATAAAAGCAGAATTGAGAAGCAGGTGACAAAATATATGCTTTATGACTTCACATTATGTAGTCTGAGACCCAGAAAAACTGGAAAATAGATTACCAGAGTAAAAAACAAAACTCAGTGCCCTAAGGGAAAACTCGTGGATGAGGTGGAAGGGGCATCAGAGAAACAAAGCAAGGGTGGTTGTGGACACTTTTTAAACTCATAAAATTAAAAACTGTTTGAAAACTGTTAAAAAAAACAGACAAAATATAAAACACAAATGTTTCTTATAATAGCACAGACTGCTGAAAACCAAATCATGAAAAGGGAGCTGAGTAGGGAGGCCACTGCAGCCATCTTGTGGAGTCTGCAACCCATCAGTCGTCCTCTTAAATCAGCACAGTGAATTCCCATGCATGACAGCTGCACATTAAACCAGAGTTAAGCCCCTTTTCCAAGGCCACTCTTAAGAATCTGCCAAGAAAGAAATTCTAGAAGGACCATTACTAACACACATTGTGGAAACCCTCCACCCTCACTGCTAACAAGGAGAACATAGCAGGCTGAAGGGGACCTGGGCCAAGTGAGGTAGAGGTCTAATCCTGTGCAGCCTTTACAACCAAGGCAAGGGTGAAAACCTCTGTGCAGGCTTACTTGACCCAGAGGCTACAATGAAACAGCTTTAGTTCCAAAGGAAATTTTATTTACCAGACTCTGACCTCTCACACTGTGGAAAACACCATGGGAAGCCTAGGGTGGCAGCACCATATGAGAGGGAAGCTGCCTGAATCCAGTGACAAGTAGACCTAGCAGGAAATTGCCAGAGGCTACAAAGCAAAAAGGGCTGAATACCAGCCTAGGTGTACCACAGCCTGAACTACAATAGCAACCTATAAGTGACAGGGCAATATTTTCATACGTGCAAAACCTTGTGCCAGACTTTTTAAGCAGGCAGAATCAATGCCCATTATTCATAATCTGGAGCAGAGGAAAGTAAAGTCCAGGTGAATTGCCAGAAATCCTTCAGTACAGCACCTCAGAGAGTGCAGACAACAAGAGGAAAACTACTGCATCCCAGAACAACTGCAGAAAACCCACAACCAGTGTACTGGCTCACACAGACAGCTACCAGAAACTTCACTACCACAAAAGGAATCTTAGCACAGGGGAACAGGTAACACCAGTGACCCACAGCAAACAAGGGGGCATATCAGAGCCTGTATCCTGAACTTCTGCCACATTATATTCAGCCAGCTCATAGCACAGCATCCTCCAAGACTAGAAACGTCCCTGTTGTCAATTTTGAAAATATAAATAACTTCTCAGCTTGACTAATAATTGTTAATCCAATAACAACATTAATTGAAATCTATCTTCCTTTCTTTATTTTCCTGGCTCTAGTTTATACCAGCTTCTCTTAAACCCAGCTCATTCTTTTTCACTGCCTGCTACTATCTCAAACAACACCAATTTATCTTTTCTGCCTTTCCACCTTGGTGTACTTTACCTGTTTATAGCTTTCTTTCTTTCCCTTGTTCCTCTCCCCAATTTGCACAAAGTTTCTTCCTCCCTTCTTTTAGCACTCCTTAAAATTATAATAAGTTTACTAAATTTAACCACTAATTTTTGAAATATTTCAGAACTTTATTATGTTTATACTTGAATTTGAGGAAGTGCAAAAAACAATTGCAATGATTTTTTGTCCTTACAAGGTTGAATAGCATGAGACTTGGCACAGAAGTTGTTGGAACCTTTTACCTCCTTTGGGACAGCGGCCATTATTGAGTGTTGGCTGAGGTGGCCTCATTGGTTCTGCCAGAGCATTTCCGTATATGTGACCTGGCTGGATTGGCGCATGCGGGCCTTTTTGACCTTAGCCCAGGCTAATGGTTTAATCTGAAATCTGCCTAGGAGCCTTAGTGATAGTGACTTAACTGCCCCTTATTGGTTCTTGCTACTGTCTCTTCTTACCCCCTCCTATCATTATATAACCTTGTCCCTGACACAATAAAGTTGAGATTGCTGCACCTCTATGGTTGACTCAACTCCCGATTTGGTGTGATTCTTGGCCAGGCTGGGTGGCAGGCTGGGTTGTGACACTCATCATCTTGCTCATCCCCGGAGACACTAGGTGGTCTAGTGTCAGAGGGCGGTTCTGACAACAAGTGATTATAGTAAATAGGGCTCAGCTGTATCTCTTAAAGTGGAGGTGATATTGGAATCAGCAGAGGTCACATGTTGAATTAAAATATCATCATCTAGATATCCATGAAAATGGCATGGTATTGGCCCCAAAACATATATGAAGATCAATGGAAAAGAATAAGAGACACAGAGACAAACCCACATAAATACAGGTATCACATACTAAAGTCACCATAGAGAAAAGAGCCTCTTCAACAAATGGTTCTGGGAAAATGAAAAGTCCATATGTAGGAGAATGAAATTGGACCCTTATCTCACCCTGCACAAAACTCACACTAGAAGTGGATAAAGGACCAAGGCATTGGACCAAAAATTCTGTGTGTGCCTATGACAAGAAAATGTAGGCTTAACTCTCCATCATGTCAGCTTAGGGACCAACTTCCTCAACAAGACTCTCAAAGCACAAAAACAAAAATCAAGAACAAATGAATGGGATGGTATCAAACTATGAGCTCAGGAATTGCTTTACTCAATAAGATTATTAACATGTAAAAAGTAAAATTATAAATAAATAAATAAACCCAATAGTGCAATCTATAAATGGGAAAAGGAACTGAACAGGCAATTCACAGAAGAAGAAATACAAATGGTCAACAAATATATGAAAAATGTTCAACACCTTTGCAATTAAAGAAATGCAAATTAAAATTACATTGAGATTCCATCTCACTCTATTCAGAATGGCAATTATAAAGAATACAAATAATAATGAATGTTAGTGAGAATGTAGGGGAAAGGGTACACTCATACATCGCTGATAGAACTTCAAATTAGTGCAACCACTCTGGAAAGAAGTATGGAGATTCCTCAAAAAACTAGGAATGGAACCACCATTTGATCCAGCAGCCCAGTCCTTGGTATACATCCAAAAGATCTAAAATGAGCATATTACATTGATACAGCCATATCAATGTTTCACAAAGGCTAAGCTAAGGAGATAAACTAGGTGTCCCTCAACAGATGAATGGATATAGAAAATGTGGTATATATACACAATGGAGTACTAGTAAGCTATAAATAACTATGACTTTGTGGTATTTGCTGGCAAATAATGCTGAATGAATAAGCCAGTCCCATAAAAATCTAAGGTTGAATATTTTCTTCAGTATGAATAACTAATGCCAAATAAAGAGCAATGGATTTTTTAAAAAAATAGAAGTAAGACCACAGGGTTAAACAAAGGGAAATGAAAGGAAGGAGAAGGAATGGGATAGTGGAAGTCAGTGAAATGAATCTGACCTATCTTTCCTATATACATATATGAATATACCACAGTGAATCTCACCATGATGGGCATTCACAAAACATTACTTTTTAAGAAATGTAAGTAAATAGCAGAAAGATTAATAAAATAAGGGGAAAGTAAGAGGGGGTAGAATGTGGGGACAGGAAGGAGAAATACTACACACACAATTACTTTTATCTGTAGTCTTAATTTTTCCGATCAAAAAAACACTTTTTAAAATTATTTAGGTCAGTATTATTTATATTCCATTCCTTTCAGTTTAGTTATGTCACACTTTAAATTTGTAATAACTATAAAATTAGAATAAATCCTATTTCATGTTCCTATATTATGACAATACTATAATCTATTGTTATTTACAGCTAAAAAGAACCAATAAAAACTGTGGCCAGGCAAAAAGTTAAAAAAGAAAAAAGAAAGAAAGAAATTGATGGCCAATTTCTATATGCATATTGTATGGAGTGATATTGATTCCTTGCTATTTCAGCAGACAGAGCTATATAATCTATTTATATGTACCAACTCATGTATACACATATGTATGTGATTATTTCTATTTCTCTGTGTGTGTGTGTGTATGTGTAAACCTAAGATCACACTATTATCTCTGAATCTAACTCTGTAAATCACAGATCACTTCTGCTGTCCTTTCTTGCTTATCTGTACTTTTCC